GAACATGTTGCAGAGTCTATTATTTTGTTTGCATATAAAGAGAAATTTATGTGAATTTTATCCCCACAGCTTAAAATAAAGAACTGGTGGTGTCTGCAGGTCACTACATTTTGCCCTTGCTAGGTGGGGAGGGACACTGAAGCATTTCCCTGCCTGGCAGTGGAAGGATTCTTTCTGGAGAAGATCCCCATTGTTAGTGTTAGCATCCTTTTGGGGACTTCTGGATCTGTTTGTGACTTGTGTGGACTGAGGAGTGCTCTTAGAAGAGAAGGAAAGAAGTGGGAGTGGGCTCCCATCACCAGTAGTGTTTTGGGCTGTGTTTTTTTTTTTTATTTTTAACCAGTTCTGATGATGATGTTTTGTGGGGCCAATGTGCAGAAAAGGAGTCAATGCACTGCATCCCACTTGAACTCAGAGGCTGTGAGGAAGCACCTCCCTGCAGTGAAACAAGAAGGTTTTTGTGATGCTGTTGTGTGTCAGGAACTGTCTACACTGAGAGTTGCTAGTTTTGGATCCTCCTCCTGATCTTGGTTTCGTTTTTGAAAAGCTGATGACTTGAAAAAAAGTGGGGCTCTGGGATGACTTTTTTGTTTGTTTGTTTTGATTTTTAAGTATGGATTTTGGTGTTATTGGATTTTGCCCATAACAAGGTAAAAACCAATATGCTCTAATATTCAGTTCTTTAATTGCTGTAGCTTAAATCCAGATTCTCTGTTGTTGCAGAGTTAATTTCTACTTGCTTGTCCAGAGTGACTGTTCAAAGGCTCTCCTGAAAGCATGTTGAAGCAAATAGCTTTAAAATGATTGAAGTTACCAATAAAGCAATGTGTTCTCTGCCAAAGGAAGTAAAAAGTATTCAGGCAGGCTAGTGAATGATAAAAATGTATCTGTAGCTTTAGAAAATGAGTTGATTCAGAACCAAATTATAGTATTTTTCCTTTAATGGGGGTATCTACTATAGAAAAATTATTTCCTGGGTGGATTGGGATTCAGCTTTCAACAACTGGTGCACATTTTTCATTGCTTAAAATTCCAGCACAAATGGTCATGTATTTCCCTTTGCACCATCGTTGTCCAAGTAAGTTTGGCAAGACCTTTGCCTTCTTTGCTTTTCTTTCTCCAGCTCATTTTGGCCTGCTTCTGGGTGGTGGCACTTTTCTGACACTGTTTCTAACAGAGTTGTCTCCCAACTTCTCCCATTTTCTTATTTGGGGCCTCCAGAGTGTTCTGGGTTACAAATTGGAAAAGCCTGAGGTTCTTCATCTTCCTGGAGGTTTTTAAGATGAAACTGGATGTGGCATCAGTGCCATGGGCTGGGAACCATAGCGGGGGAGGTTGGATCAAGGGTTGGCCTTGATGATCTCTGAGGTCTTTTCCAATCTGGTTGATTCTATTCTGTGATTCTATGCAGCTTAAACAAAAGATATTCAAATTAAGCAACAAATATGCTCCCTCTGACATAGGTGTGTCTTGTGCTTTTCTGTTTTGCTGAAGGTAGAAAGTTGCCTTTACTTGATGCTCTGAGATGATTTGTGTCTCTTGGACTTCCAAATAACTGAGTATGCTTCCTTTCTTTCCTTGTTTAATTTTAGAAACACCCGGGTATGTCTTAAAAAACTCTCCAGACAGTCAGTATTTCAAATTAGGAAAATATAATCACATGGAAGGACATATGAAAGTCATATCTGTGTTTATTTATTTTGCTGAGATTGCATTATCATTCAAGCATGAAGCGATGTTTCAGTGAAGATTGCTGTATAAACCTATATTGTTCTATATTATGTAGGAAATACGACATTTCATTACAAGCAGACAGTTATTTTTATCGAGAGCATAAAAAGTATTTTGCCTTTCAGGCACCTGTGGTGAGGGGGTGTATGTATTCTCAATTTTTCTTTCTTTCTTTCTTTTTTTTTTTTTTTTTTGCTGGAGTGTGAAAATCAACCTGAAAATAGAAAGCTCTTATTCTAAATGGATCATACTCCCAGTCCATTTGTATGATATTTTCTGCAGAAATCAAGCAAAACACGGAGAGATGATGTTCCCAGGGACCGTGTGGTGCGAGGAGGGGGCACTGCCAGAGGGGTGCAGTGGGGAGGGGATGTCCCCTGGGGACAGGAGCTGTGTTGGGTGGGTCATGTCCTCAGCTGGCCTCTCGAGCAGTGGTGCTTTCCCAGCGTTTGGATCCCAGCTTGGAAGCCCCAGTTTTGTGCTCAGCACCCCTGTCATGTGCCCTCTACTATCTTCTCCCCCAACCTTGGTGGGCTTCCCAGCCTACAAATCCAGTTGCAGGCTCTTGGGTTCCATTTGCCATCTTGCCACGGGCGGGAAAGTTCCCTCGAGGTTATTGACGGTGGGTTTTGAAAAGCGGCCTTTCCGTGGACACTTTTCCTATCTGCAAGTGAATTTTTCACCTGGCTGGCAGGAGGGGGATGTTCCAAGCTGCTGGTAACGAGTGCAACTACTCAAAAATAAACAGCAATAAACTTCCAAGCATGTTAATTTCCAAAAGCCTGGTTATATAACTTCCCCTGTGCCAATTACACCAGCACAGTGTTGCAAAGCAGTATATGAATTGTGAGTGTTGTCCAGTAGTTTGAGCCCCACACTCTGGACTCTCAGAACTTTGGATTTTACTGGTTTTAATCAACAGAGAAGCAATATCAGTGTTGCATGTGGTTTTGGTGTACCTGTGACTGTGAATGGCACAGTATTTCAAAGTATGCTTCCAGCTGAAGTAGGCACTGTGTTGATTAACCACTCCTGATTCTGACCAAGGAGCCCCTATATTTATGTATAAAATTTGATAAATGTAGAAATAAAATTTATGTAAGTTTGATATTTGTATAAAATGCGATGGATAGATGGTGGGATGTGGCTTTATATCTGGGCCTTCCTATGATGAGGGAATGTTGTACTTTGCAGGGCTTGACTGAAGTTTTAACATGTGTGTTCCACTGACAGCACTGCCTGTCCTTTCATGTGAAAGAACTTTTGAAAGCTTAGTTAAGTCAAATTTTATTTCTGGTAACTGTGACAACTTTAAGGAAAACAAAAAAAAGTCAGCTGTGAAGGTTTTTAACCTTCACACAGTGATAATTATCTTCATCTGTCAAGTCTTGGACATTTTATCTGAGTCTTACTTGTGGCTTGGAACTTAGTACCAGAGCATTGTCTGTCTCTGTAGATAGCAAACTGGATATTGGTGGATTTATGGGTGTATGGGATACATAGTCGTGTGTCTCCTGTATCAGCTTTGTGAAAGGAAACTACACAGTATTTATGACCAGTAATAACACCTGCTAGGTGAAGATAATGATACAGATAACGAAATCTAATAGATAAAAGACAAAACCTGTGCTGGATTGTTTATTCTTCCGTTCTACTATATGATGGCAGGGGAAACAATTTCTGTTCTTTGAGGCTTTACCCTCTGCTATGATAAAAGCGGTGTTGGACAGATAAATAGTTTGTTGCAGTAAAGTGGGCTCTATATTTATTTATCAGGGTAATTTGAGCCCCTGGGAAAGATTTTTAAATGATGACTAAGTGATTTTTGATGTCTTATCTGCAGTGTTTTTCAGGGATGAGCCTTTCAGAGTGCAGGCATGTTATGGATTCTGAGTGTGTAAACTCATTTGGAGGGTCTTAAGCTGCACAGGAAAAATCGAGACACCCAATTACAAAACATGCTTGAATACTTTTTCCTTGGAGTTTGGTTTCAGTCCATGGCATTCCTTCAGTAGTTGTGTGTCTGAGGTTTTAGGTTGTTTTCCAAGCCAGCCTTTCCTCTTTCTCTCTGCAAAGCCTCATTTAATGACACAATGGGGTCTTTTTTAGTTTGTCTGGTTTTTTTTCCTTTTTTTTTTTTTTTCCTTGCAGTAAAATTCTGAATTGTAAATCTCATCACTCCTTTGTGTGTTACATCATGCTTGCTGGGCTGTACTCTCAGGATTCAGCAGAGTTGATTTTTTTTTTTTTTTTTTGCCAGCTGAGAATTTTTACTGGTGTGGTTTTTTTTTTTTTGGCTTCAAAGTAAACCTTTGGAAAGGTTTACTTCTACTTTTTACTTTTCCTTAAAAGGTTTTACTTTTATGGGGTTCCTAATTGGCTGTGACATCCAGAAACCGCAAGAGGCTCAGGTCTTACAAACGTGTGACAAAGGCCCAGCACGAGAGAGAGAGACGTGGCCAGCGGTGGGAAGGTGATTTGCCCTGACTTCTCCCTTTTTGTTGTTAATTGTCTGTGGTAGTGATGATGTGTGGTGAATGAAACCATGAGGTAAAAATCAGTGCAGAGGAGAAGACGATGCATTTGAACCTTTGATCAAATATGAGAAGGCAAAGATGCTGCTTGGACACGAGCAGGATTAGCCAGACTGAAACGTTTCTGGATCTGCCTGGTCAGGCTGTGGTTTAATAAATATTGTATGAGCTGTCACACTTTGCTTGTTTAAACTGAGAAATCCCTGGAACAGCAGTGGATTGCAAGCGTGTCTTGTATTTATTTCTCAGGCAGGAGCGCAGCCGTAGAGCATTATTAGCAATAATACATCTCTGCCTTACACTGTGCAAGGACAGGTTCCCTGTGATGTATGATGGAGAGGTGGAAATGGAGCCAGTGGTAAAAACTGAAATTGGAGCTTGGTGAATTGTGCTGGGAGAGGCAGCGCCCGAGATTTCTCAGAATTTAGGAGCCTATTTATCTGCCTGCAGCACAACTTATTTACAGCAACTTAATCTGCTCGCAGCAGACACAAATGGCTCAGCATCCCGTCAAAAAATCCATCAGAAAATCAGTAGCTGACCAGTTGTGAACTTGTCCAAGTGACAAGTGGGCATGCTGACAGAGATGGCATTCGGGTTTTTTCATGGAAAAAGTGCAGTGGTGGGAGCGTGGTAGATGACTCTCAAAAATGAAAAAATATTGTTGTGAAAATGAAAAACGTAATCTACATCTTTCTGACTTGGCTTTTTTTTTTTTTAAACTAAAATTCTTAGATGTAGAAAGAGAAATCCACGCAGCACCCCACGTGAGTGAGAAGTTAATTCAGCTCTTCCGGAATAAAAGTGAGTTCACGTTTCTGGCCACTCTTCAGCAAAAGGCATCGACTTCTGGAGTTATCCTGTCCATCCGAGAGTTAGAGCACAGGTAAGGGGAAATTGTTTCTCTCCTGTAGCAACATAAAAGATCCTGAGCACTCTGGTCTGTTTGGGCAGTGTGTTGAGATGGTGGATGTAAAATCTGACGTGTAAGTTAGAGCATTTCTTCAGCGTTTGCAATGTGCTACTTTTTTCCAGTTTTTTGTTTGTTTTGTTTTGTTTGTTATAGGAGGAACTCATTATTTATGTATCCTGGCCTGTAAAATAACTTTTAAGCAGAAAGATCAAAGCCAATGTAGTATGGATGGTTTGGAAGTTACAAACCTTGTAATGCAATTTTCCTGACTAGTTTTATCGTATGTGCTTTGGAGTTTGCTTTTTCATAAAAGTTAAACTTGCATGTGTTTCTTGCTTCACTATGTTTTATAACACTGTGAAAGAATATGTCTTCTTGGAGATTCAGCAGTTAAGCTATCAAGCAATTAAGCTACTCGTGCTTCCCTATGATACTGTGTACGTTTTCTTCCCAACATAATACATTATATTCCTATTTCATGTATGCCTTTTTTTCCCTTTTTTTTTTCCTGGTTGTCAGTGTAGGAGATAAAAAAGAGGTCTGTGATTAATTGTTATAGTGGCAGATATCTGTTTGTTTAAAAAAAAAAACAAACACAAAAGAGTACACTTGGTGTTATGGTCCATAATACAATTCCAATGATGTTTTGATGTTTCAAAGTGTGTGTTGCATCAAATAGCCTCCTACTTGTAACTTTGTGAATGCTCTTTGAATAATATCTTAGGTCTTGAAGGACCTTTGTGTTTAGCCTGACACATAAAAGACTAGTTCTAGTCTTTTCTGTTGTAATACAAGTAATAGGACATTCTTTGGCTGCTCCCATTTCAAGTATAATGCCAGTCGTTCTGCAGCACTTCTTTTATGAAAAAGAAAATAATCCTATTGGTATTTGTCTTGAACATGTACATGATACTCAACTCTTAGCCCAAATTCTTACCTTCTTTTGAGAAAGTATATGAAGGAGAAGGCAGTGGGTTCATTATGACCAAATGATGGCTTTTGGCAGTGCAACAGCAGAGATATCCAGACAAGGATGGTTAAGGGGAGGACTCTGCTGTTTCCCTATTCTATCATCATACTTTTCTGTCACCTCTACTTGCTTATTGGTCTTTATTTTACTTTATTCCTTCTCGCATTTTTCAGGCCATGGTCTCAGTCTAGAAGAATATCATTTTATGTTACAGAGGGATACCTCCCTCCATCACTTTGTGTTTTCCTTCTCTTGCTCTGTCATTCCTTTTGCCCTTAGTTTTCAATTCCTCCAAGCTATTCCAGGCCATTGTAGCTCTCTGAAGTCATGGTTAACAGGATCAGTTTGCCACGTTAAGGGTTTGTTTGTTTGTTTATTTATTTATTTATTTGAGAAACAGGATGTTGAGCACAGCAATAGAACGGACAAACAGTCACATGCCTGCACTTCGCAAACTCCAAGGTCAAACCAGTCAGGCAGTGATGATTATACAAAGCAAGGCACATGGATTTTTAGATATGGCATCTACTGAATGCAGCAACTCAAGTCCTCTATCTTGACAGGCAGAGGCTTGTAGAGAGATGTGCTATGCAGGAGTAATCTTGGTTGAACAAAATACACTGCTGTCACCCTCTCTGGCACTGAGGTTATCTGTAATATTTAAAATTATGACATCTGCTTAAAAATATATGCAGTTGAAGGATTGTGTGCTGGTCTCAGTTAAACCTTTGTAACTCTCTGTAGTAATTGGGGAATTTTGTCTGTGTAGTTTAAAGTAAGAGTCAAAACAGGCATGCCCAGTGTTGCTCATGACTGCTGTTACTTTGAGTGTCTGGATACTGCAATTATCCTTTTTTTGGACTCATTGTGTATCACTTGAAGTCATTGTTTCTCAGGTTGTTACTCAGACCTTGGTAAAGGCAGTGCTTTCAAACCATTAGGTTTATGATGGCAGGAATTAATTTAAGTGGATGACAATGGAGAAAATATTTTTCAGCATAGGAGAGGAGAAGAGAACAAAGATTTGGGGCACTGCTGAAGAGGACCCTGCTTACATTAGAGCTTTCAGCTTGGTATTTTGTGGTGTTTTGTGCTCAAGTCAGTCTGTAGGTTTGCATGTGAACTGAAATGGGTGCAGACCCTTGTCACAGGGAAGCCTTTTGTAAACTGTTGCTCCTACAAAACTTCTGATAATTATCATGGTTCTGTTCTGGTGATGTCCTCTTTTTTTTGGTCAAGCTTTTTCCAACTTGCCCTGTGTCTATGAAAATGCGAAGAGAATAACAAGGAGCATCTTTAGGTTTGATCATGATTATGGGAACAAGTATAAGGGTACCTTTATTACTTAACCAGTGTTGGTTTTGGCTACGGAAAAACCAATAACTCTTCTCAATTTCTTCTCTTTGCACAAAGTAGGAGACATTATATATAGTTAAGGGCATAATGTTTAACTTATCTACAAAAATGGCCAAGTTAAAAAGTTTAAGGCTTCAGGTCAACAACACCTGAATAAAGGAAGCTGTGTTAGCTGTTGCTACCAGAGTTCATATCTCTAGGGGATATGAACTTGTCTTTTTTTGATTGTGCAGAGATTTAATAGATAAGAAATAGGTGTTATTCCAGGCAATGAGAAGGTGTGTGTGTATATGTAGACATACACACATTGTGTATAGGTTCAAAGTTACATCTGGAGGCATAACAGCATGGGTATTTACCTCACAGCAAAATGTCTTTTGATGTAGTGGAGGTGATGGTCTCCATAGAATTCCGTAGAATGCTTGGTTTAAATATCACTTCTCTAGTAAGTTTTAGCAGGATTTTATTTTCTAGTGGAATGGAACTCTTAAACTGAAGATATTAAAACACGATTAATACAATTTTTCTTGAAGTCGGTGATTTAGATATGCTAGTTTGTTTAATTCTAAAGGGATATTTCACAGCAATTAGAGATTTGTTGTTAATTTTTATCATCATTTGATGGCCAGGAATTATACTACGATGATGGCAAATGCATCTTTGTTAATATTTTGTTGAGTCAGTTTAATAATGATAAAGACTTTGTTTTCATGATTCAAATGTATTAAAATACAGCTTGGAAAATAGAAAGCTTAATTAACACAGATAAAGTCTAATTGAAGAGTCTGATAACTTGTGCAGATTGTGCACATAGTTATCTGGAATACAGTGGTAAATTAGAAGATTATATTTTTGTTCCTAAATTATAGACAATGAAATGTAATATAGGATGGACAAACACATTGCTTGGGGATGCAGAAGGTGGAAACTATTTCTCTTGATTGGAGAATTACGCTAGCTGATTCTTCCTAGAGGAGCTTTCTGAGCTGTTTTGCTCACAACCTTTGACTCTTCAGAGCACCAAAACACTTGGAAAAGGCCATCAAGATATTTAAAATCCTACGTAGTAAATCCTTATTTCAAAAGTGATTTAATACAGTTTCATCTGAAGTTCTCTGCCCGCTCCCTACCTGCTCTGGCCTTGCATGGTCCAGAGCCCAAGAACATAAATCAGATGGAGTCAGTATTGCCTTTCAGCTGTTTAATCCCTGGGTCTGAGATATATTGATGGCTCTTTTCCACCACTGGCCAAGATCAGTATCTGGAGAAGTATATCAAGGATGTTCAGGTACCCATGTGTTATCATTCTTTCTGAAGAGTGTTTAAAAACGTGAGATCCCACCATGACAGAACTGAGGAGCCAGTCACAAGATGAATTTTGTGAAGATTTTCTTAAAGGGAGCACTAAAACCTTAATTAATTAATTAATTTATTTATTTAATGTGCTTATAACCTGTGTCCAGGACCCGAACTTCAGAAACTTTATGCCACGCCAGATACTTTGGAAACCTGTTGGAAACCTGTAAGCTGATTGTACTGCTATGGTGAAATGGAGTTATGGAGTGGAAAATCTGACCCTCCACTACGTAGCAGCAAGCTGTGTTGATACAAATATTCAGGGGGAGGGCCTGATAAATGTGTCAGGCTCGTAGTGAAAGACTTTTATTCCTTGCAAGTCAGTTTTGGGTGGGGAGGGCAAACAGGCATCTTGCACACTGCTGAATAGTTCCCCCCAGGTGACACCATGAACGGCTTCTGAGAGTGCTGAGGAGTAGATAGAAAGCTGTATGTTCACAAATAACAGCTGGAAGGCTACCAGGCCATTATATGTTTAATTAAAAACACAAAGGGGTAATAAGCTGGTTAAATTAATCACTGAAACCTAACTGATGAAAGGAAGCCTATGAAAGTGACTTCTGACCCTACTTGTAAACCTGGAAAATTGGATTTACTCCCTGCTATCTTTTAGGTTATTCTCTGCAAGATGGGTCCATGTATATTGGATTCTGAGATGCCCAGTATTCAAAAAGGGAAGGAAAAACTCTGCAAATGTCTCCATTAACCTTTTTCTTTTAGGGTAAAGGGCACATCTTCATGAATATTTATGTGTAGAATTGCTAAACTGGAAAACTGTAAAGAGAATATAAAGATCCAGCCCTACTTCCATCCCGCTGAATGAGGTGATGGGAAATATGTGAGACATCCACACGCTTTTCTTTCCTTCTCAAAGGTCTTTAGAGATGCAAATGCAGACAGAATTGTGCCCACCTGCTTCTGTGCTTGGGGTTAAAGTATGCGAAAGTGCAAAGTGAAGAAGAAGTGTTACATAAATCTTCCGCTGATTTAAGCATTGTGAAAGAGGAGCCGCTGCTTGAGGAGCTACCTTCCATCCTGTGGCTCCCTGCTGACAGCAGGTGTTTTATGTACACTAGGCTGACAATTGTTGTCTCTCTGAAGCATTAACATGCTGCTCATAACCAGCTGTTGAAGCACATTGATTGGGCCACGCTGGCAGTCGGAGAAGAGCGGCTGACAGTTTGAAACTCTTTAAAACCGAGTTTGGACAGTGCAGAAATGTTACGGTCAGCCAGCAGCAGGATGTGTGGCTCCCCCAGGAGCCTTCTCCAACATGCTGAGTTATTCTGTT